TCTTATAGGTTAACCCTTTAGGCGCCATAGTTTTCTCAGTAAAATATGATTTTTATATCACTATTTAAAGAGCTTGTAGCTTAAATCAGGTTAGAGATAGAGGAATATTGTAAATTAGAAAAATATTCAGAATGAGACAAATTTTGTGAAAGGAACAAATTCACTCACATAATTTGCACATTATGACGTCCTCATGTGGCAGCCATATTGGATTGTATCACATTTGCAGATTTTTCTTTTTTTGTTTTTGTCTTATTTTCTTAGTGTTGTTATTGTTTATGATACATCAATACATATTCCTGTGTAGACATATATAACTATGTATGTATATATATAATATTTATTACTTTATTGGTATTTTGTTATGTTTACTGCGTATCAGTCAAGACCACTGTTTCTGGTGCTTCAGTGTCATGAACACATTTCACTCATCCCTTTTTTGGTTTATTTCAGGGGTGTCCAATCCTGGTCCTGGAGGGCCGGTATCCTGCATGTTTTAGTTTGAACTCTGTTTCAACACACCTGATTTCAATCAGCAGCTAATTAACAGGCTTCTGCAGAGCCTGATGAGCTGCTGCACAGGTGTTTCAACCACTGAATCAAGTCTGTTGGAGCAGAAAAACCACAAAACCTGCTGGATACCAGCCCTCCAGGACCAGCATTGGACACCCCTGGTTTATTTAGTTTATAATATGTACGTATACATGTGTATATATATATATATATATATATATATATATATATATATATATATATATATATATATATATATATATATATATATATATATATATATATATATATATATATATAATCCTCAATCTCAGGCTTTTCCACAAGCCCCATGCAGAACTGAATGAACGCTTTCATTCCTGGGACAGTTACATCGTACCAGTCATTATATCTGGAGCTAGATTTCAGTTCCTCCCCTCTCTAAATACTGGTGAGCATATCGGTTAGTTTCAGTTGTGATGAGGGTCCAGAATTCCTCATCCAAAAAAACTGACAGAAAATCAATGTGTTCTGAATTCGACAGATCCTTGTCTCCACAGTATCCAACTGGCTCATCAAAATGCTGATCCACTTGGAATACTGTTCCTCTTCTCCCAAACTAACTCAGCCATCACCATTATTATTGTCACTGAGGCTGAGTTGGGCCACCCCCTGCTAGCAGTGATTTTCTTTTCCCGCAGTTCCTCCCCCTCCTGCTGCATTTCCCGCGGATTACACCCCTGGGGCTGAATCAATCACCAGCGGAGTTTTCACTGGCCCGACCACCGCCACCACGTACCCATCCCCCCACCCCCACCCCCCCACCCCCGGCACGGTGGAGCAAAGGATCAGACCTGGTACCCCCCCGCAACGTCTCTTTCCCAGACCACGGACACGGTGACGCGAAACATCGGACAAGGTAAGGGCTGGATGGGCTGCTTGTGTAACCGCGTCGTCAGACTCCCTGTTGCTGCGTGCTGAAGCCACGCTTTCCGTCTCGCTAGAAGACCGCAGATCATCCTCAGAAAGGAAATATTCTTCCTCCGAGTCCGAATCTGCCAGTACTACACGAAGAGCTTCGTCAGCACTGAACGTTCCTCTTGGCATTGTGTTTTTTTTCCTCTACCACAGTGGTGGCTGGTGAAAAATATTTTTGGTGGGGCTGTGCTATTTTTTATTTTTAAACAAACTTGTGCTTTCTGAGCTTTGTGCACAACTTCACTATTTCCTGAATTAAGTACAGCTCTTTTATTTCCTGTCTTACATCATTGGACAAACTGATTAATCCAGGTGTGTCTGACTATTGGCACGCTGCCTTGCAGACCAAGGTTGAAAAATACTGCATTAAATTGCACATAAAATAACACGACCATAAATGGTAAATAGGCAATGCAAGAGGCAAGTAATAAAAACATTTTGTTTAATTTCAACATTTGAGTGAACACCAAAAATTATGAGCAGGTCACTGTTACAGTAATGGTAGTAAACACCACTTAGACAAAATGCCAGAAATTTACACTGTTAAATATTTCTGGAGTGTTGTGCCAAGGTCAACTTTATACAAAGATCAAGTGGATGCATTTGTGTGTGTGTGATACCTCATTTGTACAGAAATTTTGCCCTTCTGTCCTTCTGAGTGGCAAAGCTCTCGATTAGCTTTTTATTGAAGTCAGGAATGTTTGTGACAAGCTTTTTTTTCCCATGGAGAGCATGGCAAGAGCATTCAGCCCATCCTGTGTCATGGTGTTCCTCAAGGAAAGTCTTAATCCTCTTTAAAGTAGAAAAGCACCTTTCTGATTCGGCTGTGGTCATGGGTGTGGTGACAAGAATCTTCTTTTGCATGGCTCAGGATGGTGTGAAAAACCTGTCATATGATAAATAAAAAACAACAGATAAGTACATAGGAAACACTTTCATAGGAAATAATGTCATCAGTATCCTCTTACAAATGTCATATTTCCCAGTTTTTGGGACAATAAAACATTTCTGATTCTCAATCAGATGTTTTTACATTTGAGGTAAAAACATCTAATTGAGAATCAGAAATGTTTAATTGTCCCAAAAGCTGGGAAATTTGTTTGCTGCAGCAGAAGTGTAACAAGTAAAATGGAATCAGATTGATGTATGTACAAATTTACATGAAATACACATTTACGTGATTAAATATGTATAATAAGTATGTGTTGAAATTAGTTTTTACAGTTATTGCACTTTAAACATGTTATTAAACAAATGTCCCGGTTTGTGGGACAACCAAGTATTTCTGATTCTGATTGTCTTGTTCACAGAAATGTAATGTACAGCTTACCTCTGCACAGCTGCTGTTGTTCCCTGCATGGCAACGTTAGCTCTGCTGCCTAGCATGGCTAGCTTCACTGTGTTGTTGTCCATGTGTGCCCGGGATGACTCGTGTTTCTTCACCTTCTCAGAAAAATGTTTCATGTCCGTAACTCCTCCATGCCTTATCTGTCCCAGCCGTTTTGAATAACAAACACGGAAAGCAAAATAACGCATTAGCGTGATTGCATCCAGCTAGCCAAGCCTTCCTGGTGTACCAATTTTGGGAGAAGCCTAGTGTGTACAGTTTACCTCTCTCCTTCTCCTGCTGGCTTATCTTTACGTCGGGCTGATCTGGTCCAAGCTCTTTGACATTCAGTTTTTCCACCATAGTTCTCATCTCGAACGGATACTGGAGAAGTGACCGAACTGAATTCAGTGGCTGCTGAGATCCGGTATCCATGCTGGTTGTAGTCACTGGCGGTGTGATAGAGTGGGAACTCTGGAAGTTATTTGCTGATCTGACAGTATCTTCAAGATAAGGGCTCCGGTCAGAGAGCAGGGCACGGAGAGACAGTTTTACGTATTTAATGACAGTTGAAGTATGGACATCTGTACATTTCTGTGGTTCCGTGTGGTCTGTTTAAATAAATACAAAGAATGATGTAAAAGGACTGTACAAATGGTGAAATAAATGTGCAAACGTTAAAGACTATGCAAAAACAAATATATTCCCAAATGATGCACATTCAAGGGTTACACAGAGTAAATATTGTGACTTCCAGCCTCAGAGGCACTGACAAATTATATGGTCTTCAGGGACCTCTGGTGTTCAAACCAAGGTACTGCAGTTGCAAGTACCACACTACTAAACCATGCTGCCAATTAGCCTAGCATTATACCACACCTCAACTGAACTGACGTCATGGATGGATACACAAACCAGTATTTAGCACACAACACAAATTAAGAGAAATGAAATGCAGACTACAAGCGAGAATAGCAACTGATACCAATTAAACTATAGGAACTCCCTCTAAATAATCCAAACAATATGTCCAGACAGATATAAAGAATACTGAATGAACTTATAGGTTATTTATGTATCCATAGAGGTGCTACGGTTGACCAAACTTACATGTCAGTCATGAAAGCACACGAGGCTGTCTGCCATCACCAACAGCTTGGACAAAATGGTAGAAACGGCTTTACAGGAAGTGACTATCTAGAGGAAGTGATGTCACAAACTGTACCACCAAAATAAGAGTGGGGTAACTTTACACATGGATCTTCTAGAACTGCCATAACTATAGCCATAACTATAAGCCTTTCAGACAAAGCCGCCCCCGAATTTAGTTAAAAATTCAAAAACTAGAGGAAAGTCTTATCGGGTGTTTAGCCAGAGTCATCTTCATCTTCCCAAGCTGGCAGTCGCACCAGGCGCACAACTGGTCGAAGATAAGTCTGTCTCTTTATCCTCACTTCAGCAGCCCTGACTCGACCGTCTGAGCCTGGACATGCCTTGACAATCCTCTAAAGTTTGGAAGCTGGTCTGTAGTTCAGCCCCTCCACCTCGGAAATTGGTCCCTCTGTCAGCTAGGATTTCAAAGGGTTTGCCATGGCGAACGATGAAGCGACGTAATCCCATAAGAAAAGCATCAGTGTCAATGCTCTCCAGCAGGTCGAGGTGCACACAACTCATTGTCGTGCATTTAAAGATGATCCCCCATCGCTTCTCCATGCGTCGACCCACCTTGATATTGTAAGGGCTGAAGCAGTCCACTCCGGTAGACCAGAAAGGTGGCTTGTATAGACGGAGTCTTGCTGGGGGAAGATCTGCCATTTGTGGGACTACAGGACTAGCACGCCATTTTTGACATTCCACACAGCTGTACTGATGCCGTTTGATAGATTCTCTTCCACGTAGGATCCAGTATCTTCTCCGAATTTCAGCTAATACACGCTCGGGGACCGGATGCAGGAGCTGTTGTCATATTTCTTGATGAGGAGCCTGGTAACATGATGTTTTGGGTCAAGGATAATTGGATGCATGGTATCTAGATCCAGATCTGCTCTTCGCAGCCTGCCTCCCACTCTTATCAGCCCGACAGCTATATCATACTCAGGAGCAAGCATGAGTAGGCGGCTTTGTTTGGAGATGGGATTCCCCACGGCAAGGAGTTTCACCTCTTCCTGGAAGGTCTCACTTTGGGATTGTCGTAGGAGATGTAGTTCAGCTTCTTGTACATCTGCAGCTGTCATGGTGGGGCTCGCCAGGTCTTTGGCTGCCCCGTGAAGGCTCATATCAGTGGCTCTAACAAGGTCATCCCAGTTGTCGATGTTAGTAACATCCACTTCATGAGAAGGACAGGTAGCTGCTGCACAAAACACTGTCTTGCGTAGCGCATCCTCATCTTCTTCCTGAGCTACTTCCATTTGTAGCTCTGGCCAGGTGTCAATAGGCTGGTGAAGAAATTGTGGACCCTGACTCCACCAGTTGGGCTGACTGAGCTCATGGGGTGTCTTCCCGCGGGTAAGGTCATCTGCTGGATTATCAGAGGTGCTGACATACCGCCAAGTTGACCCTTCGGTAAGTTCTTGAATTTCAGCGACCCTCGTTCCAACAAAAACCTTGTATCGACTTGAGTCTGATTTCAGCCATGTCAACACTGTACTTGAGTCGGTCCATAGTGTAATTGCTCCGTAGGCTCTTTCGGAGGCATCGCAGAAGATTTGCGCTTGTCTGTTAGGCACTTCAGGGGCCAAGGTTGCTGGAACATAGCATCTTGGGATTTCCACTTGTGGGAGGTAGACCAGCTCGCTCTCCCATTGTGTCCATATTTCCAGTAGAGCCTTGGGTTGAATCTGCTCATCCCAGTCAACTCCCACTTTCCACAGGTCTTGGATGAGGATCTTGGCTTGAGTGGTGAATGGGATAAGATAGCCCAGTGGGTCATACTGCGTGGCCTTCACCTTGTAGACCTTTCTTGCCTTTCCATTATGGTGGACAACATGGTGAGGCAGATACCAAGACTCCTGGGAGCTGTCTACTGTAGCTGAAGGAAGAGGTTTGGCATAACCTAACTGTTCAAGTTTATGGATTTCTTGACAGTAGGTATCTGCCAGAGCTGGATCTTTAGCCAGACGGCGTTCAGTACTACGTAGCTGTGGGAGCAATGTGTTCTTTGATGCCCAGAGGAGGGGACTATCCTTGCGCCTGAGAAGTGGAGTAGCATATCTAGTCACTCCATCCACTTCCACTTTAGTGGTGCGTTGCTCTAACAGGTCTACAGCCTGTTGATCCTCTTTAGAACGTGTGGCAGTCTTTATGTTCACATAAGGCGAGGTGTCAACTTCCCACAGACGTTCTACATGGCGCTGGAGCTCTGAGTTGGGAGACATGGTGAAGTAGCAGTGCGGGTGGTCAGCAGAAACAGGACTGAAGTTGGCTGGGCCTTGTAAGGTCCAACCAAGAGGAGTGCACACCGCTAGGGGGCTCCCAGGTGGGCCAGCTATTACTGGTTGCTTAGGGATGAGTAGATGAGGGAAATCAGACCCAATAAGAAGTAAAGGCTGCACTCTGTCCAAAAGTGGAAGTGGAAGTCCTCCCAGATGGGAGTACTTTCACTTGAGTGACTTTACAGGGTAGCTGTGTTCTGAAAGACTTAGTTCATCAGCAGTGAAGGCATGGTGAATGCTGTACTTTACTTTGGGAGTGTGAACTGGAGATATTTCAAATGAAACTGTTGCTCCCTGAAGGTGAATCACCTCATGGCGGACAGTGCGCAGGGGAAGGTTTTCAGGCTTTTTTAGTCAGATGGAGGCGTCGCACTGCTGATGGGAGGATAAGAGTCCTCTCGGACCCGTCATCGAGGATAGTAAAGCCTTCCAGGGAATACTCAGCATTGTGTAGACATACTTTGACCAACTTGAGCATGACTTTATTTGGGCGGTTTGGACGGTCGATGTACACTGTCTTGGAAGCAGCGTTGACCATTAACACCTTCTTCGGTTCTTGAGGGCACACATCATGGAGCACAGTAAGATGTTGTTGCTTACATAATTCACAGGGCTTCTTTAGAGTGCAAACCTCAGGTGCATGATTCCTGCCGCAGCGCCAGCAGCTTCTGTGTTTGATCCATGTGGCAATTTCAGCTGCTGAAAGAGCATTGAATTTAGGACACAGGCTCAGGTAATGTCCTCTGTAGTCACAATAAGTGCAGTAAGGTTTAGGACCTGATTTAGGCTTAGGTGATCTTATATGGCCAGCTGGATCTGGAGGTGTGGCTTTAGCCTGGTTCTCTGTGTTGTAGTACACATTGGATGAAGGACCCTGAGGTTTCTTCTGATTCCTCAGCTTTGGTTGATCTTGACACATGTACGCTGCTCTAGCGGCGATTCGCTTGGCTTGTGATTTCAACTGGAGCCATGTGGAGAAATTTGACAGGGTATAAGTCTTATCAGTCCCAGTTGTCAGAATGCCACGGTTCAAGCTATACTCAACAAAGCTGTCTCTGTAGTTAGTGGGCAATTTGTTAAGTAGCCTATCAACATGAGAGCCACATTTGAGTTCGTAGCCATTTTCACCCTCTAGCGATCGGAGCATGCCTACTAAAGCTTGTACTGAGAGGGCAAAATTGTCAAATCCATCTGGATCACCAAACCTAACTGGAGGTAAGTTTAGGATGGCTCCTAGCTCACTTTGCACAAGCTGGCGGGGTTGCCCGTATTTATCTTGAAGTGCCTGTAGGGCCGATGTGTATGGTTTCGGGTCATACATAAAGGCTTGTGCTAGCTTGTGAGCACTAGGCAGCTTGAAATGCTGCAACAACACTTGATATTTAAATGGTTCGGTGAGGTGAGCATGTGAGCTTAGCAGGTTATCTAGAGCCATTTTGAGCAGTGCAAAGTCTGCCTCTCTTCCAGATGTGAAGTAGGGTAAAGCAGGCTTAGGAAGTCCATATGAAGTAGCTATTAATAGCTCCATTAGGTCTGTACTAGGTGCAGCGATTGAGCCTGGAGGAGGAGCTGTCGTTGAGTATGTGAATTGTGGCTGGGTCGGCAGGTTCACCATGGCAGGAGGTTGCGGTTGAAGGATAGGCGAAGCTCTAGTTGTTAATTGGCTTGTTGAGACAGGAGGATTAGTCACTGCTGCTGTAAAGGCTGGTGGAGGGCCAATAACTGTAGGAGCAGAGTGTGCAGGTCCATGTGCACCTTGTGAGGGTGGTGGTACTCCCATGACGTCAGCTGGGGACCCTTTGTTGGATTCATCTCCACTTTGCGGTCTTGAGGCAACAGAGCTACTCATTTCCTCCTTTAGGAGGGATGTAATGAGAGTCGCTTTCTCTAACTCTATTTCCTTTTCCTTTAGTTTACGCTGCAGCATTAGCTGTCTGGTAATAGCCTCTTTTGCCTTTAATGCCATTTCTGCCTCTTCATCAAGCTTACGCCTCTGTATTTCTTGTTCTCTTAGGAGTTCCTCTCTTCTTCTGAGGGCTTCCCGAGCTTGCTGGTCCAGATGCCGGTACTGTTCATCCATCAGACTTTCCTCCGTTATCTGTCTTTGCACCTCTGCCAACTCCATGCGCTTTATTCTCTCCTCCAACATGGCTGTCTGTATATCAGATAACCCATCGATGATTGACCTCCTTGTTGACGAGCTGGCGCTGCCCTGGGTCTTAGCTTTACTGCGCTGAGAGACAGATTGGCTTCGATCTGATGATGCTCTCCTACTAGGTAGGCTAGGTATGGCTCCAGTGATAGCAGCTGTCATCATTGCAAGTTGATCTGGAGGATGAGCTTCATGCCCAGCTGGAGCTTGGGCTGCTGGATGATGGAGAAGTTGAGGTTGATATCCAACTTCATAGTCCTCCAAATACGTTGGTAGTCGTCTCTCCCGCTGGGATCTAGAACGCACTGCTGGGTCTGCAGATGGTTGTCCTAGCTCCTCCATAATATCTCTAGATGACTGTGGATCCGGCTCGAAGGACCATGTGATAGAGTGGGAACTCTGGAAGTTATTTGCTGATCTGACAGTATCTTCAAGATAAGGGCTCCGGTCAGATAGCAGGGCACGGAGAGACAGTTTTACGTATTTAATGACAGTTGAAGTATGGACATCTGTACATTTCTGTGGTTCTGTGTGGTCTGTTTAAATAAATACAAAGAATGATGTAAAAGGACTGTACAAATGGTGAAATAAATATGCAAACGTTAAAGACTATGCAAAAACAAATATATTCCCAAATGATGCACATTCAAGGGTTACACAGAGTAAATATTATGACTTCCAGCCTCAGAGGCACTGACAAATTATATGGTCTCCAGGGACCTCTGGTGGTCAAACCAAGGTACTGCAGTTGCAAGTACCACACTACTAAACCATGCTGTCAATTAGCCTAGCATTCAGTGGCGGCTGGTGAAAAATATTTTTGGTGGGGCTGTGCTATTTTTTATTTTTAAACAAACTTGTGGTTTCTGAGCTTTGTGCACAACTTCACTATTTCCTGAATTAAGCACAGCTCTTTTATTTCCTGTCTTACATCATTGGACAAACTGATTAATCCAGGTGTGTCTGACTATTGGCACGCTGCCTTGCAGACCAAGGTTGAAAAATACTGCATTAAATTGCACATAAAATAACACGACCATAAATGGTAAATAGGCAATGCAAGAGGCAAGTAACAAAAACATTTTGTTTAATTTCAACATTTGAGTGAACATGAAAAATTATGAGCAGGTCACTGTTACAATAATGGTAGTAAACACTACTTAGACAAAATGCCAGAAATTTACACTGTTAAATATTTCTGGAGTGTTGTGCCAAGGTCAACTTTATACAAAGATCAAGAGGATGCATTTGTGTGTGTGTGATACCTCATTTGTACAGAAATTTTGCCCTTCTGTCCTTCTGAGTGGCAAAGCTCTCGATGAGCTTTTTATTGAAGTCAGGAATGTTTGTGACAAGCTTTTTTTCCATGGAGAGCATGGCAAGAGCATTCAGCCCACCCTGTGTCATGGTGTTCCTCAAGGAAAGTCTTAATCCTCTTTAAAGTAGATAAATAAAAAAACAACAGATAAGTACATAGGAAACACTTTCATAGGAAATAATGTCATCAGTATCCTCTTACAAATGTCTTATTTCCCAGTTTTTGGGACAATAAAACATTTCTGATTCTCAATCAGATGTTTTTGCATTTGAGGTAAAAACATCTGATTGAGAATCAGAAATGTTTAATTGTCCCAAAAGCTGGGAAATTTGTTTGCTGCAGCAGAAGTGTAACAAGTAAAATGGAATCAGATTGATGTATGTACAAATTTACATGAAATACACATTTACGTGATTAAATATGTATAATAAGTATGTGTGTTGAAATTAGTTTTTACAGTTATTGCACATTAAACATGTTATTAAACAAATGTCCTGGTTTGTGGGACAACCAAGGATTTCTGATTCTGATTGTCTTGTTCACAGAAATGTAATGTACAGCTTACCTCTGCACCCAGCTGCTGTTGTTCCCTCCATGGCAACGTTAGCTCTGCTGCCTAGCATGGCTAGCTTCACCGTGTTGTTGTCCATGTGTGCCCGGGATGACTCGTGTTTCTTCACCTTCTCAGAAAAATGTTTCATGTCTGTAACTCCTGACTCATCCATGCCTTATCTGTCCCAGCCGTTTTGAATAACAAACACGGAAAGCAAAATAACGCATTAGCATGATTGCATCCAGCTAGCCAAGCCTTCCTGGTGTACCAATTTCAGGAGAAGCCTAGTGTGTACAGTTTACCTCTCTCCTTCTCCTGCTGGCTTATCTTTACGTCGGGCTGATCTGGTCCAAGCTCTTTGACATTCAGTTTTTCCACCATAGTTCTTCTCTCGAACGGATACTGGAGAAGAGACCGAACTGAATTCAGTGGCTGCTGAGATCCGGTATCCATGTTGGTTGTAGTCACGGGCGGCGTCCATGTTACATCTGCGTCACGACCAAAAACGACTCTGCCGAGTTCTACCGAATACCAACGAAACCTTTGGCGGTAGCTCCATTGCCCATCATGCTTCTGAAACGTTCTGAAACAACGTCGACGCTGATTGGATACATTCCCATTCCTACCCTTTGATATTCTTGTCAGCAATTGGACAGCTGGTCTCGTCCTGTTTGGGCGATTGAAAAACAGCACACAGCCTCCACCGCTCAGGCAGAGACCGGCAGAGATCGGCAGAGACCAGCAGAGACCAATATAGATATATATATATGATTTATTATTGTTACAAAACACACAATTAACTTAGAATATGTGATTATTGTTAATTTTATTTTTTTTTTAAATAAAAATTAAAAACACGGAAAAACTGGGAGGGCGGCGCCCTATCGCCCTCTACTGGCCAGCCGCCACTGCTAGCATTATACCACACCTCAACTG